TGTGTACACTGAAAACACTGCAAAAGAGACATGAATAAAAGAGCTGTGTAATTTGCCTGGTATGTGCCCGAAAGGAACACAACTTGATTGCCACAACTAATGACAATATTTAACTTGCTAACGATGAGCTTGTGAGCCTCTGAGTGACATTCCAAGAGGTTAATGGTTAATGGTTGAAAACAAATGAATGTGACAATATAATTCTATCGATTGTTTACTGAGTGAATTCTCTTGAACTATATCTACTGGACTTGCAAGAAGATTATTGATCATTTACGTGTCATGAAGAAGTTTAATCTAATTTTTTTGTACATTCAAAAATGTAAGTTAAATTACCCTTTTCTTTTGGCTTTGTTCATTTCATCAGTTGGTATGTCACTTTGATTGGAAATCAGGATAAAGGAAGTCTAATTTTGTGCATATTCATTTACCTGTTTGTCTTAATTAACAGAAATTGAGATCAATGTTTGATCTCTTTCTTTCATCTCTGAATTACATTGCAAATTATAATGTTTCATATAAAACAAAGCATTATTATTAGTTTAAGATATTCATGACCAGTTAAACTCTATGTCTATGTGGCACACACACCTTCACTATAATTACCTTCCTAAAGAGAAAGTTCTATCATAAATCAGCCTGGTCACCTGCTGACCGCCCCGCACATCTCTTAGCTATCTTACGGATCTATCTCTCTTCTCTCCTCTCCCTCGTCTCTCTCTCTCTAACTCTCCTCCTCTCTCCAATGATAGTAACATACTAACTATATATATATGATAATTAATAACTATTATATAAGATAGAAGAGTGAGGAACGAAACACAAGGACGGCCTGAGATTGAGAGCGAGACGCTAGACTAACCAAGGATCACTATATCTAAATATGCTTATAATAGATATTATATGTATATACCATCGAAGCTAATCATACCAATCCGTAATATACTGATTATATAACTGAACTGGCTAGTATATCATTCTAGTATATAGTATAAGTAGCACTATATATACATTCATATACATCGATATCGTAATATAGCATAATGTTATTATATATACCTATATATTACTAATACTAAATAATACCTATAATATGATTGATATACCTATATATAATATTATATATATATTTGTACTTCTATAACCATAATATATTATATAAATAACGACTCTACTATATACATATAAACATAAATACTATAACTTAGGTTATTAATATTAAGCTTATCAAGTTATAATCTATATTACTATATTGTATATTACTATATACATCAATAATATATATATTATAATATTATATACCTGTATTATATACTACGTATATACAGTACTATATAATATATACTAATATATATATATACACTTACTATACTAACTATTTACAAAGTTTAATTTATATATATTTATATATATATATATATATATATATATTATACATATATATAACATATATATATATATATATATAATATATATATATATAGTATATATATAATATATATATATAATATATATATATAATATATAATATATATATATATACATATATATATATATATGTATATATATATATATGTATATATATAATATATATATATATATATATATATATATATATATATATAGTATATATATATATATATATATATATATGTGTGTATATGTGTGTGTGTGTATGTATATAATCTCAAAAAAGTTTTCAATGGTACTATTTATCCCTTCAAAGGCAAATACGCAAAATAACAATCTGCATTTATTGAGAAAAGGATACTAATAAAGGAAAAAAATATATATATTAATGATATTTTTATTAGCGCATCAGATTGGGCCAATTTAGAGATCACAGTTTGTTAAATAGAAGATTCTTGTCTATTCATTGATTTTATCTGTAGGCATGGAATATGTTTTTTTCTTTTTTTGTTTTGTTTAACTACATACTTTCTCTGACTGCTGCTGTTCAAGTTTCACAAGTCCATCAGCATATTGAAATTCTGAACTATTTTCATATTCTGACATATCAAGGGCTACTTCACAACTCTCTCGCACAACTCTAGCTTCATCTCCAAGATAATCCTTCAGCACTGCCATGGCTCTCTCTGTGGCCACTGATCCAAGAGCTTCAGCTGCCTCATGTCGAACCATCTCATTTTCTTTTTCATCTCGAACAACAGCAGCCAACTCATCTACTACGGCATCACTTGCCATCTGACCCAATACATATCCAATTTCGTGCCTGAAAAGAGCACTTGAACATTTGAATCCAGCTGATAATGCCTTTGCACTTTCAGGTGTGTTCATGTTACGTAAAGAAAACATTGCTCTATATCTATCAAATAGTGGCAGAGATTCATCAAGAAGTATTTCTCTCAACTTTTCAGTACTGGTCTCTGTTGATGGTGGCGTAGGATCAACAGAAAGGAATTTCCCATCACTTTCAAACTTTTCTCTTTCCTTGGCTTCACTCTGCAACCACTCTATCCTTCCTACAGCTAACTGACAG